TCTTCATCCCAACTTAGCTGAATTGAACATGTCCAAAAATTGGTTCTACCTCTGTCCAGCTTTGCGCAAGGAAAAACGTGCAACAGGGTGCAATTGCCGCCATGTCCTTTGAAACCATCATGTCTAATTACCAGTTTCTTGCCGTGTCCTTAAGTACAATTTGCCCTCTTGACCTACGGCCAACATCAGGAGCACAAAGAAAAGAGGCTTCGCATTCAAAAAATATGCTTGACACAAAGGTTGTGCAAACATCAGGCACTACAAACCGCCTCCGCAGATTCAAATCACCAATACTGCTGAATTCTAGCCACTCGACAAATGGCAAAGGTGAAAAGACCTGCTTACTTTCTTCATCCTAAATTGCGGGTTTGACTGAACATGTCCAAACTTGTTTGCGCATCCGTCCAGCTTTGACCGGATCAATCTCAAGGCGCTCCAGTTCTGCCGGAACACTGGCAGCTGGCAGCCGCAGAAGCGATCCACTTGCCCGCAATTCAAAGCATCAAACACCTACCGAACTGCACTTTGGCCAAAACCAAAATGCGAACATGTCTTGTGGTTGCATTGGTGTGCTTCGGAAAACACCTGTTCGATGGCTACCTTCGCAGCAACTCATGCTTAGGACATCTTAGGATCAACACCTACCGAACTGCACTTTGGCCAAACCAAAATGCGAACATGTATTGTGGTTGCATTGGTGTGCTTCGGTAAACACTGGGTCGATGGCGCCCTTCCCAGCACCTCATTCAGGAGTAGTTTGAGGGCAGTTTGGAGTAACTTTCTTATTTACCTTTCAGCGGTGAGCTTTGCTGAAGATGTTCCTCCCTGTTTCCGGCAAAAATATCAGGACACATTACCACCAAAGACCTGCAGATGTTTATTTTCACAACTTCTTTTTTGCGGAGGGTCAGGAGACGTCAAACAGGGATGTGAATCATTGTGCATCAACAGGTCCGGGGCAAAGGGCTTAATCTTTCCTGCAAGTCTTCAGAACTCAGGACCAAACATGACGGCACTCATTGTTTGGAATGGCAGTCTTTCCACCTTCCCATAGCAAGAAGGGTGCACTGCACAGGTTGACGAGACATGTGAGGAACACGCAGGCGCTAGTTTCACTTTGTCTCAGCATTTGGCTAGTCCACTGCCTGCCTGCGATCATCCGCTCACCAAAGAGTTGATGGAGTGGCTAATGTTGCACTAGGGCAGATTGATTTAGTTGCTTCTCAAAATGTTGTTTCCTTCATGGAGCTTTTTGTTGCTTTTGCTTTGCAGCGTCCTGGCAGAAGGCCTTGGCATTTGATCACTGTAGGTCAGGACGCTTCGGACTATCTTCAGCTTTGACTATTGCTGCTGAATTCAATCTTCAAATCGGACGCTCGTGCAGCACATGTTGCATCTGTGCAAAGAAGCCTTGATAGATTGCCATGTCAATCTCGGTCATGCTCAAGTACTTCCTTGCATTTGTGTGTGGGTGGCCCCTGGACATTGAGAAGCTGCTCTTAAAGTCCATCCCGTCGTTTGTGGGTTTGCAGGCCTTGTCCTGGCCATAGCAGCCATAGCATCGCTTTTTGTGAATGACAAAGCCTCTGACAGAAAGCTGTTCAGCAAACGAACCTCTGGACACCTCTGCCAAAACTACGGATTTGTGATGCGGAAAAAGTAAGTAGTCACAACTTCTTTTATGGCTGCCAGTTTCTTGCCGTGCCCTGAACTACAATGTGCTCTCTTGACCTACGGTCAACATCAGGAGCAAAAAGAAGAGAGGTTTCGCTTTCAAATGTTCTGCTAGACACCAAGGGAATGCACTGCCTACAAAGAATTGACGACGAACATGCAGGGTTCATCAGGAATGTGCAACCATTGCGCAACGATGAGATCATGAATGAGCTGTGTTGAAAGGGTCTCTCATTTACTGCAGTCGTGTCATTTTGCCTCCACCACACCATTCACAGCGATTTTGGGACTGCAGCGCCTGCTTACGTGCATGTCGCAAAAGCTTTCGCCAAAGGCTTTTGCGAGCTTGCGCGCACCAAGGTTTTGTTTCCACAAATATCTATATGACCAGGGTATTTGCGTGGCTCAAATAAGACAGGCTTTGGCCAGTGCTAATAAGCTAAAAGCTTGAATCTGAGCATGTATTGGACGAGTGATTGCTGCTTGTGTATTCCACGATCGGCTGCTCAAGCACTTAAGCACTTCTGACATGCCGGATCCCTCCATGCAGGTCCACAGCTACGGCTATAATTCAAAATGAATGCATCTTTCACACTATCTGAAAGCCATGCTATTGCAATCACTCCTTATGTGAGATCTGATGAAACCAATTGATTAATTTGGTTCTCTGGTGTCCACTTTCTATCGCTGCAAGCTAACAGAAAGTTTCCCAATTTGTTTCCTGGTTGCCTACACGCGCATGTTCAGTCAATGCTCCTTCCTTACCAAAGTGCACTGGAAAATGCAACGGCAGCAAACCCAGCTTCCGTTCAAGCAACTGCTGCGTCAGCGCCATGCTAGATGGTTTCAGCTCTATCATGGCATCAAAAGGCATCGCGTACCAGCGAAGTGTAATGTCTGCGAATGAGCAAAATGACAAAACAATAGAAAACACCTGGCTAACTTTCGATCAACACTTGGACTACCGATTCGCTTTTCATTCGGAGATTTATCAAAGTCTGATCTTGTTAAATGATATAGATGCAGTTTTCGCTGACGCTTTGTTGTCATCAACACTTTTGTTTGATAAAGCATCGTTGAGCCACAAACGTGCACGTGACATGCAGAACATTATCAAAGAAAAAGTACTGAAACAAGTGAAGGCAGCGGCTGAGTAGTGGCTAACATGACATGGACTACCAAATTGCAAAAAATGACCAATTGACTCCTTGGTCCCCCGGACCACACACACAATAGAAGAACTGGCACAAGTCAATCTGGTTTTCTGCCGCTCCCCCAAAATGACAAATGTTTTGTACACAAAGCCTAGATACAGCTCAATGTGTTCGCGTATTTGTTTTGGTTCTTGTGTCTCCTTTTTTCTCCTGTCGTTCATTGCAACTTTCCTCACCATGTTGAAAAAAAACACAATCTTAGACGACAGACTGCCCAGCCCCCAGGCCATTGACTCCATTGGCACAAGGGATGAAGAACCTTCAACCTTCCAGAAATAGATCAGTTTGTTCCGAACACTTTCCTAATTCCACTTCCTCTGCAATTTGACTGCTTCCACGGAACAGATTCTGTTCATTTCTGGGAGATGCTGGGGTTGTAGCATGTTGTGGCTACCAAGTGACAGGACCTCAAGGATCTGCAAAGCGACAGGATGGAAGCGATTGGTGGACCCTCTGGGTTCATCTGGGTTCGTCTGGGTTACGCCCATTGATGGTTCTATCAGTTCTATCTTATTTCGAAAGGGAAGTACTGATTGCACGGAGCAATTGTCATTTTTGGTCAAATCTGCGTGTCCCAGAAAGTTCCAATGTTGAGCACAACGTCCCAGAGAAAGAAGCTGAATGATGCCGATTGGGCTTGCTTCAGAAAATCATTTTACACTTTTTCAGGCTTGCAGGAAAAACAGAAACATATTGCAAATCCATTTTCTGTCGGCTGATCTTCCAAAAACACATGTTGCGATCTCCAACCAAAAAACCTACTGCTGATAACGAAAGTGCTGATGGAAGCAGCGATTTGGAAGATCGGCTCACCGACTAAGGCCCAGCATAGGGTCACTTTGCGGCACCTGGCAAGGCACAGAAATCGTTGGTGTTGGAGAGATATTGAATGGCCATGCTCCTGAAACTTCAAAAAACAATCTCACAATATCTCCCATTCTGGGACTTGCCAGGGAATTTACTCCAGAAAACACATCATGACCGTTCTGAAACAAGTGTTTCCACTGCAAGGTGCCTTGCATCTTGATTGGTTCCATAAAAAAACTCCAACATTTGCCCATTCTGTGGCCCAGTTAAAGTGGCGGCCTTTCGATGCAGCAACATAGGCATCCAGCGTCTTGATGGCACCGTTCCCCAAGGCGGCCTGGACTGGATCTCTCCTGGAAAATCAGCCCCAACCTGCAAGGTGGTGCCCCAGTTCGTTAGCTAAGTTGGTGAACATAACTCCCATTTCACTATTATGGTTCATGGCAGATATAGCTATAGTTTTCATGGGGTTTATAAACCAACAAACATCACTGGGGGGCACCATCCTGTGTCCTTCTAATCCATCCTTGATGTAAGCAACTCGTCACTAGATGTTGCTACCGTTGGATGAAAAATTGGTCCAAAATTGAATCCAGGCACCCTCCACTCAGTGCCTTGGCCACTTCTGTTCCTGTTTTGAAGTCTGGAACCTGCAAACTCTGGACTGTTGCTGGAACACAGCAGATTCTACCAATTGGATTGCAAAATTGCCATGGTAATCCATGGTAAACATCACACAGTTGGGAAACCCCACATTGAAAACACATCGAAGCCTTCATCGAAGCGATAGTCAAATTCCACAGCACTGTAGCAAGGCTTGCAGCGTGCCCCGTTTCTGCTTCAATTTCTTCGCGGAGAGGCGGAGAGGCGGAGAGAGACATTAACGGTTTAACGGACATCGGGAAATCGATCATGTGACGAACATCGCCTTAAAAGATCTAAGACCCAAGGCTTCACGTGGGCTCGCCACCCGACAGATTGCAACATTCTGCAACCACTCCAGTGAGATGATGCTGCACGGGAATCCACTGGCTACAATTTGCAAGCACCTTCAGGCCAGGCACTTGTGAAATAAGGGTATCAATCATTTTCTTCAGCTGAAGGACACTAACATGGTGGAGATGCTATCATTTTTGACAGACTCTCCTGTTCTATTCATAGAATTTCAAAGTTAGGTCTGCCATCTGAAAAATTGGAGGCAAGCTGCATGGAGACATTTACAAAACATTTACATTGCGTTTTGGTCGCATCCTGTGTGTCCCTCGGACCTTCGTCTCAGCTCGAAAACAGGTGACACAGGTGGCCTTAACTTTGTCGTGTCTCATCCACATCATAGACCAATGTCATGAATGACATGACCTCGTTGGGCAGCAGGTCCTGAAAGCGGGCAAAGCGGGCCAAACACCATGGCAGTCCGGATTTGAGGATCACATTAATAAATCATTGAAAGTGATGGATATCAAAAACATCTGGATCCCGTTGACCAACAAGTAGTATATTTTGGAAGTTGGAATTCTTGGTAGAAAATGTGCAGTGTGCTCATCAAAGCTGAGCAAAGTCTGTCACGGTGTGATTGGCGCAGCTAAATGAACAGTACCTGACCCATACATTTTTTTGATCTGCGCACACTAGACAAGAATGGATCTTTTAAGTGATCCGTCGGGAACTGAGTCCTCAAACGTGCATTTAGATTAGTTACTTAGATACAATTATATATACTTATTGAACAGAGAATTTGGGCTCTTAAATCTGATGAACACTCCTGAGCACTGTTCAGCACCTTTTCACTCGGTTAGCTCGAAGGTAGCTAAAAGCACTAAAATGGCTGCAGCACATATACAAACATATGTACTACATGTAACATGGTCTATACTGTACACATATCTGATCACGCCTCCCGAGCCTGTTCGGAGGCACGGTGAGTCCAAGTGTTTTGAACTAGGCGAGTTTTGATATGTACAGCTACGCATAGCCACGACTCAAGCCATCTATGCCTTCAGTGTCAGGTGATGTTCACCTTCCAGAAAGTGAAAGTTCATATTCCGCAGGGCTTTGTTCATCTTCTCCTCTATGACAGGTTTCGTCAAGACGTCGGCAAGCATATCGCCAGTGTCGACCTTCTTCAGCCGAAAGTAGTGCTTGGCAACGCGGTCTTGTACCCAGTGGTATTGAGTATCCACGTGCTTGGCCTTGCCTAATCCTCTACGTGAACCCATTGCTATTCCTGCACTTGCATCCATGAAAACTTCACTCTCAGGTTGCAAACCCCAGTCTTTGGCGGTTGAAACTTCTCCCAGCAAATTGCTGGCACCGCTCACAAGAGCGTAATACTCACTCTCTCCAGACGAAAGACTAACAACTCCTTGTCCTTTAGAATAAGTCTTGATACAACAACCACCGGCCATCAAGACGCCTCCTGACACGCTCTTCCTCGTCTTCACGCATCCAGCGTGGTCAGCATCAGACCACATCACAAATGGACTGAGTTTGTTCTGATGAGGAAAGAATTGTGCCATGCGTGGTCGATACCTAAGGTATCGTGCAACTCTTTTGAGCATAAGCATGTGGCTGGTAGTTGGTCGTTGTAGCCCTTGTGCTAAAGATCTTGTTGCTACTTGCAAATCTGGTCGGTCTTGTGCCAAATAAGCTGCTCGCATTGCAACTGATCTATACTGGGTTGCTTCTTCATCGTTGAGAAAAACAGCGGCATCCTTAAGATCTTCCACTGATCCTTTGGCAAGTGGTGTCTTGACTTTGGCTCCTCGGGGACCATCTCCGAGTAAATCAATCACCAACTCTGCGTGACGTGCATCTGGTTCCCACCAAATTCCATTCTCCTTCCACGTGATGATTCTGTTCAGGACTCTGATGTCCTGGATGGTGTTTGGTGTTCCTGGTGGTCCTAAAATACCACGTTCCACACATTTCCACTTCTTTGACAGCTCTTCATGAAGCCATTTGATGTTGTCAAATGTTCCTGCTGTTGTAAAATCATCTCCATGTACAACAGTTCTGAGGTCTCGGCCTGCATGGTAGTATATGCATGGATTGCTTTTTCCTTGCTTGAAACCTAAGGCCAACATGACCTTCTGTATCTGCAACTCCCAGTTGAGAGGTGCATCTCTGGTTCCATACAATGACTTGAGCAATCTTCCTACCACATCTTCTCCAGGCTTCTTTGCTTCTGCAGGAAGCTCCACGTAAATCTCGCGCGTCGCATCTGAATAAAAGTGAGCGCGTTTCACATCCAGGAATCCTAGAAGTCTACGCTTGCGATAGGCTTCCTTGACAGCTTTTCCAGCGTCTGGCAACTGAAACGTGACGGCTATTGTAACTAGCATCTTCAAAGCAGACAAACTGGGCATGGCTGCGAAGAACTCATCAAAACCTGAGCCCTTCTTGACTTCTTGAGCTACTAACCTACTTCTATAAAGTGGATTCTCCTCATCCTGCTTGTTGACATCTACCCATCGTGTTCCAATGGTGCGTACCCCTTTGGGCATCTTGTGTCTGGGAATCTTTTCCCAAACTGGAAAACTTTCAATAATTTCGACCTCATCTTTTCTGGCTTGTTCTACACCTTTGCTGTCCAAAATCTTTCCACTGATATCATCATAATAATACCATGTAACTGCTTCATCTTCCAACTCCGGTGGAAGAGGAATTGTTTCTTCGCAAACTGGCTCTTCTTCACCTTCAATGGACTGAAGATACCTCTCCCGATCTTCCATGATCAGGTTCATAAGACATTGGTCTATATCATCCATGTCATCTGGTCTCTCATTCTCAGGTGGCCGTTTGGTGCCCTTAGACGCCTGAGCTGAAGCAGCTCGGCTGTCTTTGGCTTTTGACGTCTCGCCTCCTGAGTCTGCAGGTCTCTTCTGACCTTTGGTTGGTGACATCTCCAACCTCTTGTGTGATCTTTCTTCTTGCTCGCCTCCTGCTCTCTTGGCTGAGGCTGAGCTTGCGCTAGCTCCTACTCCAACTGGATCTGCAGTTGGATCTTGTACTACTGGTCTCTGCATTGGACCGGCCGTAGAGGCTTGCACTACATCAGGTCCAGTAGTTGGCAAACTTGGCGCTGATTCCCCTGTGGCAGAATACCACAGCTCAGTGACAATATCTGTGTCATCAATCAACGGTGCGTTGATGACGTCTTCTCCTAAATTAGGATCAATTGGTTCAGACTTGATCATGTCTCCTGTCTTGAACTCTCTGGTGACTCTCCACCAGACGTTATCCCAACTGGGACCTTCTGGCATAGTACCCTTGAGATACCTTGCATTCCTGTCAAGGCGCGCAAACACCTTGAAACCTTGAGGGACTCCTTGTGGTCTCTCACTTGAATATCCATAAAGGATCTTTGTGCCTTCTTCGGACACTTCTTGTTTCTGACCAGTGATTTCAGAATCAACCTTGGCCGTATGTTGGGCTACTCTCAGGTTGCCCTCCTCTGCTTGAAGCAGACGTTCCATCCTTTCTCTGCAAGCTGGAGTGTGATGAACTCCAGTGCCTCTCTTGCCAATTCTAGTGGCATCACAGGCGACCCGCCGGGGGGAAAACCGCGCCAGCGTTTTGAGGGTTTTTTAAAAAATGGCGTTTTCGCCATAGCGAAACTACTGATTCATGCCCCAAAATTGGCTCAAAATTCCCCGGGATTTTGAAGGGTTTTTTAAACGATAACCTGTAAATTACAGGGAATTTGTTCCTGAAAACTCGCCGGATCTTTTTTTCCAACTCACATTGCCACACGGTCTTTCAAGGCTCGACCTATGACCTCCATAAGACTATTCGTCTTGGAGTTCATCCAACGCCAACCCAGTGACGTAACATAAGATGTGCATGTGACGCAAGTTAACATGAATGTTAACATCCCCCACCCCCCCAACCCAGTGACGTAACGTAATGTGACGCAAGTTAACATGAACGTTAACATGCCCCACCCCCCAACCCAGTGACGTAACGTAAGATGTGCATGTGACGCAATTTCACATAAACGTTAACATCCCCCACCCCCCAACCCAGTGACGTAACGTAAGATGTGCATGTGACGCAAGTTAACATGAACGTTAACATGCCCCACCCCCCCCAACCCAGTGACGTAACGTAAGATGTGCATGTGACGCAAGTCACATAAACGTTAACATCCCCCACTCCCCAACCCAGTGACGTAACCTAAGATGTGCATGTGACGCAAGTTCACATGAATGTTAACATGCCCCACCCCCCAACCCAGTGACGTAACGTAAGATGTGCATGTGACGCAAGTTCACATAAACGTTAACATCCCCCACCCCCCAACCCAGTGACGTAACGTAAGATGTGCATGTGACGCAAGTTAACATGAATGTTAACATGCCCCACCCCCCAAACCCAGTGACGTAACGTAAGATGTGCATGTGACGCAAGTTCACATGAACGTTAACATCCCCCACCCCCCAACCCAGTGACGTAACGTAAGATGTGCATGCTACGGATAAAATATGTGTGTTTTCAAAAACGGTTAAAACGCTGGCGCGGTTTTCCCCCCGCTGGCACAGGCGACACAACCAGCTGTGTAGCCATACTTGTCCAAATCACGTTTGGTGATGTAAAGTCGTCTTGTTGACTTCTTTGGTGACTCAACTGGCACTGATGGCGCCAGTGGCTGCTGATCTCCCTCAACAATCTGAGGAAGCAAAATGTCATCTCTTTTTGATGCCTGGGGATCCCAAGGAACCCACATTGAATCAATGCACTTTTGTGAATGGATTTACTCCTATGCAACTTGCCCTGGGAAAACAACCGAACATGCCTGGACTCATCTCTAACGAGCGCACTGGTCCAATCCAACTTCAACAAACTGAACAAGATCGACTACGACGACGACTTGAACTCAAAGCAAGTGCCCAAAATGCATGTGCTGTTGCGGAGATTGACGTCAAACTTCGACGTGCTCTACTCCGACGCTTTTCAGGTGCTGATGAAGATCTACAGCCAGGTAAACGATGCCTTTACTGGCGAGAAGTTGGCAATCGATTCCACACGGTTCAGTGGAAAGGCCCTGCAACGGTCGTTGCTGTCCAACGAGACCCAGACACTGGCACCATTGACACCTACTGGATTGCCCACGGCACTGTGCTCATCCGTGCCGGACGTCAACATGTTCGACGACTTGTTGGCCAAGAAGGTCTTGTCAATGGAGCTCAACGTGCTGAACAAGCCATTGCTGGTCTCCGTCAACGGCGAGTTGTCCGAACTGCCGACTTGCGGCGCATCAACCATCCTCCTGATCAAGGTGAGCAAGATGCCCCAGCAGCACGACCTGAATCAGTGCGATCATTTTCCTATGAGCCAACTGAACCCATCGATGATTTGCCAAAAGATCCTGCTGAAGA